AGCCATGTTTTCTGTTGAATTGTATATTTCCTTTATTCTGTTCTTTATTTTCTTATTTGTTGTTTCTTTCATTCTTTAGTTGCTTGCTTGCTTCTCTTTTGTGGTATTTCTTAACTAGAATTATCTAAGAGATTTGACTACTTGTAAGGTTCCTGACTCATGGTACTAAAACCTTCTAATCAATATTGGAAAAGTACTAATTTTACTTTACAATATTATATGTGTATGCATCAAAAATACCTAAAAACAAAACTGAGGAATTTTGCAGACATGGAATCAACAAGGAATTAATCTGTATACCATTTCAACTTGGACTCAAATATTTACAACTACTGTTTTCATCCTGGTTATAGCAGTTTTATTATGAGGATATAAGATGATACGGATTGAATATTCAAATTAGAAATCTGATCAATGCCAAGTCATATGGTTGGGATCATGTCATTGGAATCAGAGGTTAATGTCAGATTACCAAACACTAAAGAATCTTACATGTTACAAAATTACCCACCAGCAAAATTAAGTGAAGTGTAACATTGATCAGTGATTCGACAGCTCTTACCAAGGGGCATTAGATTGAGAAGAGCCTTGTCAAGGGGAAAAGCTGGAATGTTAAGAACTTGAATGTTAAAAGCTGGGATTTTGATGGAAGAAGAAATAAATCTATCCTTAGAGAACTTTCAAATACCAAGGGACAATTGTTTAATTACTAAGGGTAGCAAAGATTGAAGCTCAATCTGGTGGCACAAGATCTTCTGTTCCAGTTTTTCCCAACTGTGTATCTTTTGGGGAAGAACACTAGAGAACTATAATATGCAGCAAAATAGCCATGATATGATAAAAGTCAAATGAAATGTCTCATTCTGATATCAATAGAAATTTAAACTTGTTGGATTTTTTAAAAATCCACATTGTAAGTAACTATATCCTCATTTGTATTGGCATTTGTGTTTAGCCCTAATAGATAAGATTTCATTGTAATTTATTATAAATTATAAATCAATGTCTTGCACCTAATATTTTTTTAAAATTTCCTTGCTCAGAGTATCAAGCTAGACTTTTTGGAGGGGGAGAAGAAGAGGAGTTTGGGAAGGTTCATACTTGCTTTATCTAATCAGAAGATGGTGTGGCAGCTCTCCAGCTATTCAGCAGCTAGGATTTCTGGTCTTTTGCAACGTGGAAAGAGGAGAGCCTTTCTCATTGCAGAGTGGGAATGGAATGGTCAGGTTCTTTGTACTTCACGGTTTCCTCTTACAGATTTGGAGGGGATTGCCTTTGTCAGCCTCCTTATCTTCTTTAATCCCACATGGACATCTTTCAGAGAGATTCAGGTAAAAATATTATACACTGGTAAGAAGTGATTAAAGGAAGCTGTGATCATTTTTAACTGTAATGGTCATAATACCATTTTGAGGATTAGAGATTAAACTGTGACCTCAAAACCCTGCTTAGGAGTTTAAGTGAAATTCACCATGAGTGGGCGGGATTTTAATAATATCATGTACTCATTAGAAGTGAGTGTGGCCAAATAGTGTCTCCTTTGATTCCAGAAGTTTTTCAATAGAGCAGAAAGAAACCTTTCAAATCATGTTTTTTGTCAAAGTAGTTGTGTCAGAGCAATACCAGCTTGAAATTTTCTAAGATGGTTGTCACTTAATAGATGGGTAGACTCTGTACATTTCAAAAGCCCAACAAATAAGAAAGTGAAATCTGATTAATCTGCACACATTTTAAAGAGTATTATCTGCATCATCTTATCAGGAAGTCAGATGATGTGTTTTAGGTTATAAATTCACTCATTTGTGCCTCTGATATTAGTTGAAATCAACATGGCCAACCACTCCTTTCTTCTTACAAAATTAGTTTTTATTGATTACTTGAAAAGAAATAATCCAAAACTCTGAAGCATTAAACACTAAGGACTATACTTTTTGAATGCCTGATGTCCTGAAAACAAATTATCTTACCATGTTAAGTGGATGATTATTAAGTAGCACTCCCTTCATTTTGGCATTGTTTTTTGGGGGGGTTCAAGATGAGGATTTTTAGTCATTGAGAAATCTTTGCCAGAGAACCCTGGGCAAGAAACTGCTTGGGAGCTGTGGGTGCTCATAACGTTTTATTTACTTTGAGTATCTGTGGCTAAAACTCCCAGAGTTAAACATGGGCTAACTCGAAAACCTAAGTATTTCCCAAATCCGTTTAGAGATGTCGGCACACATGGCATCAGATGAAAGGCTCTATGGGCTATTGGCCGGGATTCTGTCCACACCACTGCCCTTCCACGGGATTCCACTGTGTCTGGGCGTTTGAAAAGCTCTCGCTGGTGTTGCACATGCCTGTGCCATCATTTCTCAAGCCCCAAAAACACATGATTGAAAACTAAACATTAAAAAATCAGATAATTTTCAATAGAAGGGTGCCCTGTAATTTGCTTGATTAGTACTTCTCCAAGTCATCCAAACCAAGGAAGATCTGAGAAACTCTCACAGCCAAGAGGAACCCGAGAGACACGAAAATTTGATGTAATATAGTATCCTGGATGGGATCCTGAGAGAAAATAGAAAGGAGACCTAAGGTGAAAACTAGGGCAATCTAAAGAAACTATGGACTTTAGCTAATAATAGTATGTCACTATTATTTCATGAACTATATCAAATTCACCGTTCTCATGTAAGATGTTAAGAATGGGAAATTGTGTGCAGGGGCTACGTGGGAACTCGGTTCTATCTGCTTAATTCTTCTGTAAATCTAAAACTGTCCTAAAATGTAAAAGCTGTTAATTTTTTAAAAAGTGACATTAACACAGCATGTGCTTCTTTATGTGAAGCCTTTTCTATTTACAGTTGTTCTCTCTGTACACAAAATTGAATGGACCACATAAAGATGTGGAAATTTTAATTAAGCTGTTGGGTGACGCATAGAAATGGCGCCTGTCAAGATCAGGATGCTGAGCGGAGATTCTCACTATCATAAATTATTGTGATCCAGAAGGTCACTGATTGAATCTAGATAATTTATTCAGTCTATTAGACATTTGATGCCACAACAGTTCAGAAGGAACACAATCCTTAGACTCCTGAGTTAGGTGCTTTGCTGTTGGACTGGAAGGCAGTGGCAGAGTGGAGTCTAGAACTTTGCGGAACCACCTTCATGAAAGACGTAGCTGAGTTTTCACGAGCACGCATGGAGTGGTTCGTTCTGGGGACGCCCTCCCCGCAGCAAGCTCTCCCGTCTCAGGCATTGTTCACGTCCGTCTGGGAATGTCTATTCAGTCCGATGCAGTATCCGAAGACAGATTTGCAAGTAACTCTTCCTATTGTACTTACCGAGTTTTCAGGCTCCTGTTCCTGTGCCAATAATTCTAAAAAACCTACTTAAGATATTTTATATGTAATGATGGGGGATATAATGGCAGATAGTATAATTATAATAACAATAACAAAAGTAGTAACTACTGTTTACTGAACATGTCAGGGACTGCACTGAGCCCTTTATTTTATTCAGTTGAAACCGTGTAACAAACCAGTAAACAAGGCACCTTGATTCTTTGCACATCGTTATTGATATGTAGGGGTGTGTGTGTGTGTGTGTGTGTGTGTGTGTGTGTGTATGACATTTATTCACAAACTCTTCAATCAGTGTTTTAAAAGCTAAACTTTTTACATGCTGTTTAACTATATCTTTAAAGACAACAAATAGAACCCTTTGTGAAGCAATTTTGGGGGGGAGGTTTGATGTTTTAGTGAAATTAGTTTAAGTTAGTTCATTCATCTACCTCTTCCTGGTATGAGTGGAAAACTAGAATGGGGACCTGAGGATAACCTCAAACTCAGTAAAAAACAGACAAATCCTTCTTAGTATGTGGTAGCAAAGCTTACTCTCTTCGTAGCTCAATTTATTTGTTAGGCATTGAAACAGAGCATGGGAGAAAGAAGTAGATTTGCTTTAATAGATTTTTTTGTTTCCTTGTTTGAAAGTTTTTGCCTGAGGTTCTGTTTTTGAAGAAAGGACAGTGTTCTTATCGGAGGCACTGAGTGCTGATGCCGGCGCCCTCCATGGGGGCAGTAGGGCATCAGTGAGGCTCCCTGGCTGGCAGTGGCACCCGGACACTGAGTGATAAATTCTTCCCGTCAACCACATCATTCAACTTAGTGGCATCAGCGTAAAAATGAAGGCCATGCAGTATCTGCTATTCACTGAATACATGCGGAGCAACTCCATGACTCATTCAGACATGACTGTAACTTACAGCTACCTGATATATCCCAGTGATTTTTCCAGTCTGATTTGACATAGATGCAAAGTCATGCCAACAGGTAGAATATAGGCCTAATACTGCATTTTCTCTCCTTTCTCCATGTAAGAGTTATACTATAAGAAAGTGCCTTTTCTTTTTAATCTGCAAATAAAGTTTAGGAAATTTTGCTGGAAAATTAAGTCAAAACAATTTTTAATGTGCAGTACCTGGAAAAACATATCTATTTCCAGCTTGAAGTAAACACCTTGGAAATGGGAAGGGCTAATTTCATGGTCATTGTATTTTCCAGGTTTCATGCAGTTTTGAGTTTTTAAAAGACTGCTTGGAGTACTTAGTCCAGCATTTCCCCTCAGACATTTTCCCACCTTTTGCTACTCGGTTTTCTCCTAGTGCAGGATTCCTCGATTCTATTGAACAGTTCACATGATATGTCAGTGAAAGCTAGCTGTGTCCTTAAATGCTGAACACTAGTTTCTTAAGTGTATATAGGCTAATAGAGCTCTTATATTGAAAGAATAGACATACCAAAAAAGATTTGTAAAACCCAAAACCAAAGTGTTGACAATATGTACCTCTAGATATTGAAAGCAGGTTGTTAGAATGTTTTTTTTTGTTTGTTTGCCGGTTTACTGTAGCTAACCACCGAGTTTGCTATAAACTTGCTCTATCTTGGTGCTACTACTATCAGATCAGACTTCCCCAAAGTGATGGCTACTGTTTTTTTCTCTTCCAATCACAGGAGAGAGGTCACGGGGTGTTGAAGAATGGCAGATGATCGGAAAGATGACGCAAAGGCACCTCACTGGACCCCAGCTCAGCTAACGGAGGCGTCTGCACACCCGCATCCACCCGAGATCAAGGATCAAGGCGGGGCAGGGGAAGGACTTGTCAGAAGCGCCAATGGATTCCCATATAGGGAGGATGAGGAGGGCACCTTCGGGGAGCATGGGTCACAGAGCGCTTACTCAAATACCAAAGAGAATGGGATCAACGGAGAGCTGACCTCAGCTGACAGAGAAACAGCAGGTAACTAAAGGCTGTGCCGTCCCCAGTGCAGGTTTGCGCTTTGAAGTCTGTTTAGCCCGAAAGTGAATTAATTTACAGCACTGATCCTCGTTCAGGAATGCTAGGACAGAAGATTTAGTCAGGGGAAATAGACACAAAGAGGAGAGAAAAATCATGGGAAGGAGCCCAGCAGATGAGATGATTGTATTCTCTGTCTCATCTCCCTATTTAGTTTTACCACTTTAATTTTAATAGACACACAGCTCAGTGCATGTGCGCTTTGCCAGTAACTATCAGTGGTTTAATTCATTGAAAGAAAACACAAATCATTTGCTATTGATTCTTTTGAATGATGTTGGACCTAAATCCGATTGACTAATTAGAAGCATGTTTACTGTTTAGGGCAGAAAGGAATGTAGAGTCCATCTCCCAGGCTTTAAAAAGAAAAAGAGAGAGACAAAACAGAAAAGAAAGAAAATGAACATGTACACAAACACAGGAACCATTTCTTCCTCAGTTAGCTTTTTAATCCCTAATATTCAGATTATTTAAGGAAAACATACTGTAATTCACTCTCAAGTACATCCTTTCAAAGCATAATGTTTACCAATAGCCCACTTTGCTCTATGATTGACAATATTGCCATTAATGGCATAGTTACATAGCTTAATAGCATAGAGAGATAGCAGCCTGTGCTATAACGCTCTTTAGAATTATTTTTATTTTTCTGTGATTCAGAATTTAATGCATTTATGAACATAGTAACTTCCAGACATGTTACTCTGAAAAGTGCAACGACAAGCAATGGGAAAGGCTATGCCCTTTCAACGCTGTCCCCTACTTGTTGAAAGATTGGTTGTCTGCACTCCATCCACTAGTCAGCAACACATCGACTGTACACTCTGTTCAAAAAGCATGTTTACATTATATTGGGAAAATATGAAAGGCATTCCAAATGCCTGGGAGAAAATTACGTAAGTTTATAGTGTAATTTAAAAAAACATCCACACATTCCACAAATGACTGTTGAGCATTTTCTGTGTTGTGCAATGTGTGTTAGCTTCTGTGCCATGGTGTGTGCAAGAAATGGTCCCTGAACTTTACGGAGCAGGTGACCTGGATGCGGGCATGAGACCTGTGCACACAGTTCATTCGGACAGAAAAAAGAGTGTGCCAGCACCAAGTGAGCAGTACGGAAAGACGAAATTGAACTTGGATTGTTTCTCTGTAGGGCCAAGTCCCCAAACTGGGCACTAGGGTGCCCTGCGGTGCTGCAGCAAACCCACGGGCCTGAGGCAGAGTGTTTGAAATACTCAGTAATCACGGTGGTTCTTTGTCTGTCAAACACTGCATGAAATACTAGCTCGTGGTAGTGCAGTTTCCACGCTGGAGCACACCATATCTCTTTACAAGATGTCGTATCTTTGTGAATTTGGGTTTTCAGCAGTTGCTGTGATAAAAAACCAAGTACCCTGCAGAAATCCACGTGGAACAAAAGAAAAAGGTGGCAGTGTCCAATCTAATTCAAAGATTTGAGGAGCTGTGTGGTGCCTAGTATGTGCATAGGCCCCAATAGTAAGAAATTGTGGCTAAGAATGAAATAAAAATTTTATATTTACCTTTCATGGTTACAATGAGGATTAAGTGAAATAGTAAAGTATACAAAGTGAATGGCTCATGACATAGTACCTACCAATTACTATTATTATTATTGATGATGGTGGTGGTAGTGGTGTCAATATAGACAACAGAGCACTCTTAATCAAGGAATATTTTTCTACCAACAAATAGAATACAAACTGTAGACAGTGGGATTTGGGTCAGAAACTTTAACTAGGAAGATTCTGTAGGGATCGAGGTATGAGGAGAGGAGGACACATTAGAGCAAAGTGATCGTGGGGGAAGAAAGACATAACGTGGTAGACCAAGATTTTTCTCATCATCATATTCTGTAGCACCTGACATTGTACCTCAAGAACTCAGTAAGTGTGTGTTGAGTGAGTGAATAAATGAAGAAAGGAGTGAATGAATGTCAAAGAAAAAAGAAAGTCCTTTTCAAATCATGGTAAAAACCATTGAAAAGTCTTCCTTTATGTCTTGGAATCTCATCTGTTGACTCGTGGGTTATTATTATAGAGGTTTAAAACACAAGACAAAAATCACTGTAGCGTGTTCGGTCATGCAGTGGAGAACTGACATCACTCAGTGTTTCGTTTTTTTCAATGGTACTAATTAACTGTCTTAAGAACATCTGAAAAATCTATCTGCCAGGTCAGTGCGTCCTTGCCAGCTGAAGAAAACTGTATGAATTAAAAAGCGACCAGTAGATGTTTCTTTTAAATTATGGATTCGGGAGCATCCAAAGTTAATTTTACATTCAGCACAACATATATCACATTGATTTTATGTTATATTTGGGAGGCTGATTATGAAAGCTTTGTATGTATATTCATAGTGACAGTGTTGTAAATAGTCATTTGTGGGTTACCAGGGTGATGTGTTCAATTCAAACTAGTGGTGTGATTTTAAACTAACTTCCTTTCAGGAAAAAAACAGGCCAAGAATTGAATTATAAATTATCCATGTGTGGAAAACTACAGGAAAAGACAAATGCAAATATTGCCTCCTCATGTCTACAGAGGATGTTCCAATGATGTTAATGTGCAATTAGATTGCTCTCTAAACTTTAGCTTGGTAAAGTAATACATTTTATTATGGATGGTTTATAGGTAACTGTTTCACAAATTACAAACAAAAACCATCCCCAGGAAAAGGAAATTCTCTTAAATCTCAAATATGGTTTTCCAAAATGCTGTCCTTTGATGATGGGAGACTACTGACTGATAAGAGTTGGCATTATATTTTGGGTTATTTTAAAGAGAACCAGGGAACTATGAACTAGCCCACTTTTTTGCATTCACGTAAAATCTGTCAGTGTATTGCAGTTCTCCGCTATGTAGAGCATTTAACAGGACATCGTTAACTTGAAGGATTTCCCAGTGTCGTCAGGTCCTTAGCTATATGTTGTGGTGTCCAGGCCATCACTGGTCTAATCCAAAGGTCTTTCTTCTTCTTGTTCTTCTTAGCTATAGTCAACTCTTCACTTTTAGAAATAAATCTTTTCCCCAAGGTCATTGATTTGTATTCATCTCTGTAAAGAAGATTATCTGATACATGAATGCCATCACCACATCTACTTCCTTCTTTCTTCCTTCATCGGTGTGAGCTTACTTCCCCCAAAGGTCTGGCCCCTTTCTCTCTCACCCACCCTTTTCAATGTTCACCTTCATTTCTAGGCCATCATAATTTTTTATTTTTAAGATGCAAGCTTATCTTTAGTCCTATGCACTGAGACAGGGTGGCAGGGAATGCTGGAAGGCAATAATATTCTAAATTCTATTTCTTTACTGCTTTCCCTTTTAGATTTTGTCTCCTTACAATGTAAAACTAATCCATAGAAAGTTAGATAGAATCATTTGCCCATCTGTTACAGCATAACTTTTGATACTTTAAGAATTTTTATTATATTTATTCATTCAGCATTCATTTTAAAAGCCCTGCCACAGAAGCTTTCAAAAAGAAACGAGAAGCCAGAGATAACCTAGCCACTTGAGAACATTCTCATTATAATGAAACTAAAACCATCATTTTTACAGTTTTCCAAAGCAGGAATCAGAGAGTAAAAGCTTGTCATAAACCTTCCACTCTTTTTCACCTTATCTTTTTTGAAGGAAGCAAGAGGAATGCATTTTGGTCCCCACAGAGTTCCAACCCTGTGTGAAAATTGGGAGCCTCATCTTTAAGTTTCTTATTTGAGGTCATGCCCAAACTTGTACTAGAATCAATATCAAAATAACAGAAAGGTAACTAGAAGGGACCAGTAAGCTGGCCTTGCACAGTCCTCCTCTTTTACAGGTTTAGTCCCCATTCAGAATCACATGACTACGGCCAGAGTATGGGTCTCCTGCTGTGGATGCCAGTGCTCTGTCCACCCGCCCCCCCACCCCCACGTGCTGCCTGATTCCCACCAGTGCAGCAGCTGCCCCGGTGATCAATTAGAGCCAAAGAAGACAGTCTCTGTTGCAGAACTGCCACATCCGTGTACCTCTAAGCATGACAAAACATCATAATCTTATTCTCGGTTTTCAGTATGGACGGAGAAAGGCAATTTTGGGAAGTTGTTAGATGCTGGAACATTGACATATTTAATTAGAAGTATGATTTCATGATTTTGATGATCCTGAGGTATAAAGCTTTGAACTAGTGTTCAGTTCACTTACTAGTGAACTAGTAAGAAACGCTAGTGAGACTATAAAGTGCCTTCATGACCATCCACAGTCCACAGCCAGTGCCAGCTATCTCTGTGAGTTAAAGTAAGGATTAAAGGGCATTTCTTCAGTTCATCACCCATCCCCCTCCCCGCAAATGCTTTGTTGCTCTAGCATTTCTGGGGATTCTATCCCGGGGTGCTCCCTGCTGAAGCAGAGAGAGCTGGAAGAGCTGTTGCAGGTTATCCATGGTCACATTTCAGAGTCCACCAGTGGAGGCCGTGCCTTCTAAAGCCTTGGCCAGCACTTTGACATCCACATAACTCAAGCAGCCAAGTGGTGAACATACTCAGATATAGAAGTTGATTGTTGCTGAAATTATAAATTTAACTTGAAAATACAGGGTGGAGGAAAAGTTTGTCATCACTCTAAGCTTCCTCTGTTTCCCTTTTTAATCTCAGAATATGAGAAACTGCCTTTTCTCCTCCCTTTTTCCTCTGCCAACATTTCTAGATTTGAGATGTACTACTAAGAGCCGTCATCCCAATTTAAATATGGCATATTGCATATAACATTATATTAATGTACACAGAGAAGACTATACAGAGCCATTTCTCCTCCAAACCAGCTAAAGCCATCCCTCACCACCCCCCAGAGGCAAATAAACAAGCTAGCCTAACAATACAAGAGGTTGCAGATTTTCTTTTCCTTGTTGCCATGCCAACCACTCATTGCTCTGCTGCCATTTCCCTG